ACACATTTGGGAACCACTGGATTGGRGAAAGAGGAGACATTTGTCACTATCTGCTTAGCTCTCAATTTTTAAATTTAGAAATTGGTGTTTTCTAACTTGGGGTAATGTCTAGAGCAATGATTCTTAAATTTGCTGCACGGTAGAATCATTTGTAGAGTTCTAAAAAATCCTCATATCCAGGTCAATCACACTCTATACCAATTAAGTCAGTCTCTGGGAGAGGGACTAAGCAGCAGATTTTTTTTTTTTTTTCCTGGTGATTGAACCCAGGGGTACTTAACCACTGAGCCATAAACCCAGCCTTTTTATATTTTATTTAGAGACAGGGTTTCACTGAGTTGCTTAGGGCCTCCCTAAATTGCTGAGGCAATTAACTGCCTCAGCCTCCCAAGCAACTGAGATTATAGGTGAGCATCACCTAGAGGCAGCAGAATTTTTTTTTCAGTTGTAGTTGGATAAATATCTTTATTTTATTTATTTTTATGTGGTGCTGAGGATCGAACCCAGGGCCTCACATGTGCTAGGCGAGCACTGTACCACCGAGCCACAATCCCAACCCAAGACAACAGAATTTTTAACATCTCCAGAAGGTTCCATTATGCAGTCAAGTTTGTAAATTTGTATCTATTTTTATCTACTTTGGTTCCCAAAGTAGCATCTGCATTACCTGTGCACTTGTTATAATGCAAATTCTTAGATCTCACCTTAGAGCTGGTGAATTGGAAGCTATGAAGGTGGCTCAGAAATCTGTTTCAACAAGTCCTCCAGGTGACTTGGACATGCACCAAAGTTGAGAGCCATTGATCTTCACTTGTCCTTGAATCCCTGTGAACCTGGTCTCTATCCACAGAGGTGAAAACTCTCAGTCAGTATTCCATACTCTAAGCCTATGGACTATCTTACTGTGATATATAAAAATATTTAAAATTTTTAAAAATTACATTTAGCCTCAACCTCTTAATGCTTATATATGGTCACTTTTTCTTTAGGTCATTTAAAACCATTTTTTAATTCTTAATGTTGCTCCAAATTTTATATAATTAAGGTTTTTTATTAGCAGTAAAACATTTTTGTCTAATTTTCTTTACATAAAAATCACTCAGTGCCCAGTACTATTGTTGAGAATTAAATTTGTACACTGATGAAATTAAGCCAGATAAAGAGTATTTTATGTAGGTATCAGCTAATATATCATACATAATATATATATTTTGGTACTGGGGATTGAATCCAGGGGTGCTTTACCACTGAGCTATATCCCCAGACCTTTTTATTTTTTGAGACAGAATCTCACTAAATTGCTTAGGGCCTTGCTAAATTGCTGAGGCTGTCCTCGAACTTATCTCAGGCTCCWGAGTCGCTGGGATTATAGGAGTGCACCGCCATGTCCAGTAGTACCAGCTAATTTTAATAATTGTTCTAAATCTCACTGATTCATCATAGAATGATTTGGGGTATTTCCTATGTGCCAAGACTTTATAGCTTCTGGAGTTGATACTAAGGTAGAAAAATACGTTAGTTGTCCTTAAATACCTTTTGGCTTAYTGAGGACACAGAAAGTTTTAAATAGAATATTTACTATAATAAATATCATACAAAGGACTATATGAGAAATGAAGAAAACTCTGCTTGAGGAAGGCAGGAAAGGCTTCAGAGAAGGCAGAATTTAGGAGTTTCTCAGACAAAGCTTGAAGAACATTCTAGACACTAGGCAAAGTAAACATGTCACAAACACATTCAAAGGGATTTCAATTTGTATCTTCATAACTTTGACTATTCAGAGATGCAGAGCAGTTCTTACCTAAAGTCCAATGTGAAGTCTATGTAGTCCTCAAACGACAAAGAGAAAGAGGAACAAATTTTTTATGGCTTGACCACCTTATGAGGTGCCAAGCTAGGTACTAGTGAATGGGAACAACTGAAATCATAATTAAGGCTGCTAATAGTCCCTGCTTTACCCCAGTTCTGAATCTTTATATATGTGTGTGTTTGTGTGTGTGTATGTATAATTTTAGTTGTAGTTGGACACAATACCTTTAATTTATTTATTTACTGTTAAGTGGAACTGAGGATGGAATCCAGCACGTCYCATGTGCTAGGCAAGCAATGTACCACTGAGCCACAACCCCAGCCCCCAGTTCTTAATCTTAAGGAAGAGTTTGCTTACTGTGACTCAGAGAGACCAACCATCTTCATCAGTCCAAAGAATGGTTAACTATGTAGGTGTCCATTACTCCTCTTCTTGGGACAGTTTGATTCCCAGAGATTAAACTGCTAGGTATCCAGATTAAATACTGTGGCAGTAGATCAGGCAAATGTTCATTGAGAAAATGCATATTTAGAAAGGAATTAAAGTATTATTCTACGAGTCAGGCTTCCTCCTCCTCTGGGTAAGACCCATAGGAATTTTTTCAAAGATGCACAGTTGAATATGGAACACAGGGAAACCTATAGAACTATCTCTTTAATAGCTAGCTGCTTACTGATTTTTTTTTCCCTCTATCAGGTATGAAGATGATAAAAAAGAATGGGCCGGGATGTTGAAGGAAATACGTTATGCTTCAGGAGCTAGTTGCCTAGCAACACGTCTAAATCTCTTCAAACTGTCTAAACTATAAACAAGGTGACAAAACAGAATAGATTGAGACGTGGTTTGTTTGGATAATAGTGCTTTAATTTATTCTGTTTTTTTAAAGCCTGTACAGAGATTCATGTAGAAATTATTAAATAAGTTATTGTCTAAGAGGTAAAAAGAATACCAAAATCTTGGTCATTGACTCTTTAATGTCATRATAAGAGTTTTAAATCATTTTCTAATAAGAAATTAAATATTAAGTTGAAAAAAATGTGTTAATTTGTCTCACTCAATGAATTGTAAAGCAGGCTCCTAAATTTGAGTAGTTTCCTAATCCTTTGTATTGATAGGGACCTTTACACTTATTTTCTATTACAAATTAAATACATACATCCCCAATCTTAAAATGTTTTAAAATATAAAAAAAATTCCTTATATAAGCTTCAAGCTATGACAGGAATCCTATACATTATATTAAAGATTACAAGTCATAAAATAATTTGGAAGTTATATTTAAGGAATGTAATGAATGAGTCTCATTTGAAGGGAAAAAGTCTCTTAAGTAAAAGAAGTCAAATCCAAATGCCTTTTTTTCTCCATTCTTTTTGCGACACTGGTATATTATTTGTAATCTCCAAATCAAATTTTAAAAACCTTTTAACTTAAAACCAGTAAATCATTGTCTTCATACCATTAACAACCATCTACAAAAAGAGGGTGAGTGCCAGCAGGAAACAGACTGATTGTTTAAACTTCTGAGGCAGAGAGAGGGTGGAAGAGGGTATATAGTCATTGGTTTAAATTTTAACTATATTTCAGATAAAAGGGCTATTTGCTAAATTTCTAATAGTAGGAAAGATGACTGAATGGTTCCATTTTCTGGGCTATGCAACCCTACACTATTTCTTCTTAGAGTATATCATGCCTTCTCAGTCTGTCAAATTCAACTGTGCAAGTCATCAACTAACCATCATTTTTATCCTAGACACACATCTTGTTGACATGTATTTGACTGCTATCTTACACAATATTTTCTGAGATTTTAGACCAATGTGGAGCATCCCATGATCATCAAGCAGCTACAGAAAGAACACACAGGTGTTCATACAGCTTTATTTTCTCTATCATAAACATAAAAATATATTTAACAAAAACATTTTAGATCTCTGAAGTAGAAGCCTGGTTACTTTTCTGTACTGAAAAATATTGACTTGAATATATACCATGAGTATATAACAAATCCCAAAGGTAGGAGACCCTACAGGTTCTTCAACAATAAATTTTAGGAAAAGAAAGGGGTGGAGAGAATGTTTATAAAGACAGATATTAAAGAGAAGGGGTAGGGGAAAATTTGGTGTCCAGGAAGSCATACCTGGGAGACAGATAAAACTATAAGACAGACTTACCATACAATCAGAACACAAGTAACTTTCAGGCAGAGAATACTATCCATGTACACATGAAATTAAGATGTAAAAAACAATACTTTTTACAGGGCTTCTTTAGGGGAGGATGAAAATGCTCTGGAATTAGATAGTGGTGGTGATTACACAATATACTAAAAATGACTACATTATATACTTGAAAAGGGTGGAARCCAGGTGTGGTGGCACAGGCCTGTAATCCCAGCAGCTTGGAAGGCTGAGACAGGAGGATTGAGAGTTCAAAGCCAGCTTTAGCAGGGCAAGGCACTAATCAACTCAGTGAGACTCTTGTCTTTAAATAAAATACAAAATAGGGCTGGGGATATGGCTCAGTGGTTGAGTGCCCTGAGTTCAATCCCCAATATCCCCACCAAAAAAAGCGTGGATTTTATGGTATATAAATTATATCTCAATGAAAAAAGACTTGTTTTATACACACACACACACACACACACACACACAGAGAAAACCATTTCAATCAAGCAGCCTAGTAAAAAAAGAGTAAAAGATGTGGTACATAAGAAGTTATATTGTGTGTAACAAGAAGCAAAAGACACACCAGAATCATTTAAGCAAGATTTCCATGTACCTCAACATTGGATTTTCAATTATTTATATCAAAGGCAAATTTACAGCTCTCATCAGTCTAATCATTTTATTCGAAAAGCTACAGAGTAAAAATATTTTAACTTATTCAGGGTTTGGTTCTTGTCCTTTGCTTGAGAAATAGAACTCATTCATGTAAATGGAAAATTAAACACTTAGAATTTAGAATGTCTGTAACTATAAATGAATATCATTAGGAAATTTACGAGGAAGAATGGTGGATTAGTCAATCTGTTGTTGCTATGACCAAAATACCTGACAAGAACAACTTTATAATAAAACAAAAAGTTTATTTTGGCTCATGGTTTCAGAGTTTCAGTTCATGGTTGGCCAATTCCATTGCTCTGGGCCCATGGTAAACTAGAACATCATGGTGGAAGAATGTGACACAGGAATGTTGCTCACCTCATGGCAGCCAGGAAGCAGAGAGAAGGAGCCATCAGGAACAAAATATAAACTCTAAAGGCATGCCTGGGGTAACCTACTTCCTTATGGCATGCCCCACCTTCCTATAGTTGACCACCTGGTTAGTTTGTTCAAATTATTAATCCATCACATGGATCGATCCACTGATTAAGTTATAGTTCTCATAATCTGATCATTTTACCTCTGAACATCCCTGCATTAACATATGAGTTTTGGGGGGACACCTCATATCTAAACCATAACAAATGGTTACAAGGAGTTATCTTTTACTTACTTACTATTCTGATTGGTTTTCAAAAAACTTTATGAAGTTCACTTCTGCAAAATCATTATATATTGGGACTCAAGTTATGCAAAGTCAGGGAATATTTTATACATGTATTTCAACTAAGCCCAAGCCAAATATCAATGAAGCAAATTACATGCAGAAAATACATTTGTAACAGAAGGCACTTTGGCTACCAACTATAGAAGAGAATGAATTTAGAGGGTCCAGGAGTCAGAAGATAGCCAAGTTTCAGATGGTCAGTCCCATCACTCATCTCACACATTCCAAATGGCCTAAAGGAAGTGCTAGGAATTATATAATATAGTAGATCCTTCATAACTACTTTATTGTAAATGTGTTAAAATACAGAGAAAAAAAATCACTATAACCTTAGCATGTGAAAGATCAGACCAGGCCAAGATTGGACCACTGAAACTACCACCCTATTTCTTTGTTTCCATTTAGAAGAAACCTCATGTCTCCTCCTACTTTCTCTTGGAAAACAGGCTTTCACACACAACTTAACAAAAATCATTTTTCAAAGTTAGTGATTTTTATGTTGCCATTTTGTATGTATGGGGGTGAAGACAATGCAAACCCAGGACCTTTCTTAGGCTTAGACTCATGTTGTTAGATTAAGGGGCATTTCCATTTACCTAATCTATTAGCAGTATTTGATATAATGTCTCACTTCTTCCTTTAAATGCTTCATCTTTGGCTTCCAGGAAGTATTAATACCTTCTCTGACTTTTCTTCTTACCTCACTGGCCACCCCTGCTCAGCCTCCTTTGCTGTTTCTTCTTAAGCTCTTAATGCAGGAGCATCTGGAGCTTAGTCCTCAAGTATCTCCTCACACATTTCTCTACTCTCAAGTGATTTCATCTAGTCTTGCGGCATTAAATACCAATGACAATTTTCAAATTTGTATCTGCAGCCTGGAACTCTCTCTCCTTACTTCCTAACTCATTTACTGAATTGTTTGATATCTCCACTTAGATGTTAAAAAGTATTATAAACTCAACATGTCTAAAACAAACTCATGATCCTTCACCAATGCCTACTTCCCATCTTGCTCATCCTATAGACTTCCCCATAATGGCAATAGCTTTTTAGTTGCTCAGGACAAAAATTTAGTATTACCATTGAATTTTGTTTCTCTCTTCCCTCATATCCATCAGTAAGCAAATTCTGTTGCCTTTACTTTCAAAATACATTGTGAAAACCACTTTTCATTACACTCACTGCTACTATTCTATCCAAGCCAGCATCCATTTCTTGCTTGGAGTATTGAAATGTTCTTTAAATAGTCACAATCCACTTCTTGCCTGCTGATACATTTGTTCCTTAGTAATTTTTTCTCATCTCAACAGAGCAACTAGTGTGATGCAGTTAAAATGTGAGTTTTCATCATTCCTCACTTGAAACCCTCCAATGGCTTCTCATCTCACTAAGAGAGGCTATGAGGTTGGAATATTGACTGTTACTGCTTACTTTCCTTTTATCATACTCCCACCCCACTTCCCACTTGTTCTGCCACCTCAGCATATTTGCACCTACTATTTTTTTAATGAGTCAGTCCACTTAATTAAAATACATACATATGTGACACACCATAAGAACTCATTTTTAATAAAAATTACAATCATGATTTGCCTGCTCCAAATATATGTTCTCTTAAGTAGTCCAACCGAGCATCTTTTTTTGACAGTGCCATAGAGTTCCATTCAAAATGAGGGATCTGTAAAATAAGTAATGTAGTTTGAATGGAAGTTTTAAAGCAGCTACAAAAAACAGCAGGGAAAACTTATAAGCACTACTGAACAAAAATGTACTAACTCTATGTAATTAGATTACAAAAGCATAGCCTTTAAACCCTTTTTGGAAACAAAGTGGTTATGTCTTCTTAGACATTGCCTAGAAGATTTTTCTCCACCTCACAGCTCCTTTCATCTCCCTGTTCCTGCAACACTGACAATGGACATTTTTTTCCTATATTCCTTCTCTGTCTGTATATTAGCCTTTTCCTTCTGTAACTCTGTCCATTTGTGTATCAGTGCCTAATACACAAATCAATAGATCTTCTAAAGACAATAAAAAGTATGATGATTTTTATTTTTTTAAATATTTTTTAATTGAAATGGACACAATATCTTTATTTTTATTTATTTATATGGTGCTGAGGATTGAACCCAGGTCCTCACGCATGCAATGCAATCGCTCTACCAATCAGCTACAACCCTAGCCCCTGATTTTTCATTTCTTAGTCTACTAAAGAAATGATGTTGTTGCAGGGATACTTTAATGTAACTTTTTTAATATAAAAAGGTAATTCTAGAACTTTCATGTTAAAAGAAAACACGTGTATAGTGTTTCAAAGGCTGAGCATTTCATATGAGCATTTCTTACCTGAATGACATGATATCCCAAAATTTCCAAATGTCGTTTTTTCATAGCAGATTTTCCTTTTATGTGAGGGACATTTCTACAAAAAGCTTTTGAATCCAAAAATTCGAAAGCAATCCTATATAAAATAAAAATAAATACTTACTTTGAAAATTTAAATGAGAAATTCAATAGTTACAAGACTTTCAGGAACAAGAATGCTTCTTTATAAAGTAACAAGAGCCAAGTGAATATAAATGAGTATACCAAGTTATTTTTCTCCCAAAGAAATTAGTAACTAATAACAAACTTACTCATTAAATCAAATTATAGTAAATCATCTTCCAGCTTTCATCCATTTGTTTCTTTGTCTAATATATACTATTACATGCCTACTTTATATACATAAGAAACTTATACATAAAGTAGCACAGCTTATAGTTTAACAAAGAACATATGTTATATAGTAACTAATGCAGTGTAGGAGGGGCTAAGTGTTATCAGAAAAGTAGAGCAAAATGGGAATACAAAAGAAGAAAATACTATTTATATCCAGTTGGGGTCAACTAGGTCAGCACTTCCAAGAAATTCCCAGGCTAGGGTCAGACAAAGGCAGACCATTAGGGCAGAAGCCACAGGACAAGGAAGGTAAATTGTATGAGATATATGAAGAGCAGATGCAACTACCAATCAGTTCTTGATAACTGAGACCATGATATATCAATGCCAAATTTATCATTTAGGTGAAATCTAAAACTCAAAACTAAATTACCTTTCAGCTCCTGGTGGAAGACTTGATCCAACTATTTGGGTATTTGATTCCCAGTACATTCCTGGTGGTTTTCCCAAAGTTATATTATGGCTTCCATAAGGAAGAGGTTTTTTTCTTTTATCCAAGATACATTCAAAATCTTATGGAAATACAGGAATCAACAAGGTAAGTAAATTCTTACAGGTAAAAATTTAAAACAGGGGCTGGGGTTGTGGCTCAGTGATAGAGTACTTGCCTCACATGTGTGAGGCACTGGGTTTGATCCTCAGCACCACATAAAAATAAATAAACAAAATAAAGGTGTTAAAACACACACACACACACACACACACACACACACACAAGCTTAAAACATTTTATTTCATTTTGTTTTGTTTGTAAATCCAGGGGCTCTCTACACTGAGCTATATCCCCAGTCCTTTTTATTTTTTGAGACAGGGTCTCACTAAATTCCCCAGGCTAGCCTCAAACTTGAGATCCTCCTATCTTAGCTTCCAGAGTAAATGGGATTACAGAGGTGCACCACCATACCTACCTTAAAATATATTCTAAATATATAAACATAAATACATACATACACACAAAAAATGATAAGCCTAATAACCCACTTACTGCATAAGATCTGGTATAATAGCATGGCCTCAGTTATCATGGCCTCTTTGAAAATCAATCAATAAAAAAATCAACCAGCAATTATTAATAAACCATAGCATAGGGYTACATTAAAGTTTTATTTTATTAAATCTCCTTAAGTCTCTTGGTCACGTTTGGAAGAAGCTAAAACAACTCCTCTGAAGACTAGTAAAAGATTTAAGCATATATCCTGTCTTTCCTATGTGAACTGTATATAAGGTTAACTAAATTAATTGAATGGGAAAGTTCTTTTTAGACATAATAAATGTAGAAGGAATGATAAATGTGGAATATTGCTATTTTTCCATCCCTAATGAATGACAGACTTGGGCAATGAGTGATCAATTGTGGCTGCTAAAATTAATATGTAAAGAGCCGATGAGGGAAGTTTTTTAAAATTTTTTTAGTTGTAGATGGACACAACACCTTCATTTTGTTTATTTACTTTTTTTTTTTTAATGTTCTGAGGATCAAACCCAGTGCATCACACATGCTAGGCAAGCACTCTACCACTGAGCTACAACCCAGCTCCCATGAGAGAAGTTTCTAATAAATCAATCAGTTGATAATATACAAACCCATTGCTAAGCATTAATAAAATAAAACAGAGATATACTGGAATAAGTACACATCATGGCCAAAATAAAAGCAACAACCTAATCTAAAATGCAATCAAGCCTCTAGCTCTACTACTGTTTAAGGAAATACAAGAGAAACATGAACAGATTAAATATCACCTCAGGGTCAATCACAATTGGAGAAGTTTAAATTATGAAAAGAAAATTTTTCTCAATAAATAAACTATAAGAAAAAAAAAAGAAAAGTAGAACTTAAAAAGACAAATCAAGGCCAGGCATGTAGCTCAGTGGTAGAGTACTTACCTAACACGCACAAAGCCCAGGGTTCCATTCCCAGCATTGTAAAATAGAAGGAAAACAAAACTAAACTAAACTAAATGCAATATTTGGATCCCAATTTGAACAAATAAACTATAAAATAAAACATAAAACCAAAAGGCTATGTGATATTAAGAAATTATTATTAATTGTCATGGGAGAAGTATGCTGATACTGTCATGTTTTTAAAGTCATCCTTGTCATTTGATATACATTCTGAAATGATAATAYTGTCTATAATTTGCATGAAAAGAATCAGATGGATTCTGGTGAATGGTGTTGATGAATATGACTCTGAATGAAATTCATTATGTATTATTCTAATTCTAGTTTTTTGTTCTTTGTTTTTAGAGATGAGGGTCTTACTATGTTGTCCAGGCTGACCTCAAATTCCTGGGCCTCAGCCTCCCAGTAGCTGGAACTACAGGCATGTGCCACCATGCTCAGCTCTAGTCTATCTTTTTATATGTTTGAATTTTTTCCATAATAAAACACAATCATAAAGTTGGGCAGAGTGGTACATATTTAAGTCAAGAAAAAAGGAAACAAATAAAAAGAAACAATGAATTAAAAGGAGAAAAGAGAAAATTGATTATCTATTTCTTACATATAAGGGAAATTGGGCACTGAAGCATCTTCAAGTCAATTACGAAACATGAAATATAGTTCAATCACTAAGAGACTGAATTCTGGAGCCAGAATGCCCACGTCAAATCCAGGCTTTGTCATTTGCTAGATATATAAACTTGAGCAAAGAGTAATGTTTCTGGACCTCAGTTTCCTCATCTGAAAAGTAGAATAATTTACATGCCTTATGGGACACTAATTTAAGTGTTTTATAGATATAAGTAAATTCATTATTTAGATATAATAAATAAGTTTATTTATTATAAATATATATAAAAATAAGTTTATTAACTTAGATATAATAAATAAGTTCATTTTATCTATAAAACACTTAAATTAGTGTCAATGCTTAGACCAGTAAAAAATTTTATGGACTAGGGGCTGGGGATGTGGCTCAAGCGGTAGCGCGCTCGCCTGGCATGTGTGCRTCAGGGGTTCGATCCTCAGCACCACATACAAAGATGTTGTGTCCACTGAAAAACTAAAAAATAAATATTAAAAAAAAATTCTCTCTCTCTCTCTTTAAAAAAAAATTATGGACTAATTTAATCATAGCATACTCATTCAATAAAATATGCTAACACTAAAAATGATGTTGGATAAGTATATCTGTTGGCATACGAAAATATTCACAACATATAAATAAAATTACAAATGCTATGATTTGAATGTTTTCCCAAAAATTCATCTATCAAAACTTGATCATCAGTGTGACAGTATTTAGAGATGGGACCTTTAGGAGATGATTAAGCCATGAGGGCAGTGCTCTCTTTAATGGGATTATCACTCTTAAGGGACACAGTAGGTCCTTTAATGCCCTTTTGTTCCTTCTATCATGTGAGGACACAGCATTCAAYGTGCCATCTTGGAAGCAGAGAGCAGTCCTCACCATACCTATGGGTTCCTTGATCTTAGCTTTCCCAACCACTGGAAATGTGAGAAATACATTTCTGTTGTTTATAAATTACCTAATCTCAGGAATTTTGTTATAGTAGCACAAATAGATTAAGACATAGATACCTCAGAATAGCTATTCTTGGTTTTAAAAGTAAGTTATAAATATAAAAACAGACACCAAAAGTAAACAGTGGCTATATCATGGATAATTATTATTTGTGGTTATCTACCTTTTCTGGTTTATTCTATGGTAAGCACATAGCATATGACATTTTATTTGTTTTCATTTAATTATTTACTTTTTTAAAGATTGATGTGATTTTTTTATACCTTTATTTATTTATTTATTTATTTTTATGTGGTGCTGAGAATCAAACCCAGTACCTTGCACATGCTAAGCAAGCACTCTACCACTGAACCCCAGCCCCAGCCCCTATTTATTTATTTTTGTATTGGGGATTGAACCCAGAGGCATTTTAACACTGAGCCATATCCCTAATCGTTTTTATTTTTTATTTTGAGCAGGATCTCACTAATTGCTTAGGGCCTCACTAAGTTGCTGAGGATAGCCTCAAACTTGTGATCCTCCTGCTTTAGCCTCCTGAGTTGCTGGATTTATAGGTGTGTGCCCTTGCAAGCTGCTCATATGATTGTTTTAAGTGTTTTTTTTTTAATATCTTAAATTCTGCTTCATAGTTTTTAATCATACAATATGTTGTCTTAATCACGCCATTCCCCTATACACAAGCATCACTACTCAAATTTTATTCTAAAGATTTATACGCATTTTCACATAAAAATAATTCTCTTGACAGTGGGAGTTACAAATACAAAATGGAAATACAATGGGCCTATGATGTAATAATACTAGTTTAATCATGATGCTTGATTTTGTGACAGGTTATTATGAGTGATTTTTCCTCTCTCTCCTTTTTTCACTTTTCTGTACTATTTAATTGTTCTATAGTGGATATRTATTATTCCTAGTTTGAAAGAAAATTTTAAAAAAGGAATGAAATGACATGATAGAAATAAGGAGCTGGCTATAGTGCCTGTTTAATTTTAAGATGTCAAAGAATCCTTTATAAGATGGAATTACAGATCATTTTCATATTTATATTTTAGTACATTTACTTCCATGAGTATTACTTTTACAATAAATAATATGTCTAGCAGAGACTGCAAGTTTTCCCCCAGTACTAATTTTTCCCCTCACTTTTAATGATAGAGTATGTGATCTTTCAGAATAAATACCACATTTTCTAAATTCACTTGCAGCCAAGTATGGCCATAGATCATAACTAAAAATGGTATGTTTAACTTCAGGAAACTGTGCTTAAATATAAGATATATCCTTCCTGCTCCTTCCCTCCTCTTTCTGCTGGGGTCTTAGTGGAGTGGCTGAAGCCAGAGCAGCTATTTTGGACCAGAAATGGAAGAATCGTGCATAACTCATGTTTGTGGAGGTGGCATGCCAACCCTGGACTCTACATGTAGAGGAGAAGGAAATAAAGGTGTAATTTAAGTTCCTGATATCTTGGATTTTTGTTACTCATCATCAACCCTAATCCTGACTTATAAAAAAAAAATAGACAAAAGAGAGTATGTGTTTTSTGCTAATGATTATCTGGGTCAGCCATAATTATACATACACAGGATCATCTGATCATCCACATTCTGCCTCAACATAAGTTCTTCATAAAGTAGCCCATAATTATTCTTATACTGACTCAAAGTGTGCTTCCATTAATTTTACCATTTTCTCATCCCTTAAATAGAGATATCAAGTTGTTTTTCCATATGACAATCCTTCAAACATTTTATTTTTATTTGTTTATTTTGTGTGTTTGTTTTGTTTGGTTTGGTTTGATTTTGGTTTTCCAGTGCTGGGGCAAATATCTTAAAACAGTTATGTTCCCAATGAGACTTCTATTTTCAAATCAAACATCCCTAGCTGTTTTTTTTCCCCCCMAAAAAATATAATTTACTATGTTCCAAGGGTAGTGCTAAATGCTTTACATGCAATACTTGAATTAATTCTACTAAACAGCCATTACTATCCCCATAAAATAAAGAAAAAAAGAGGAATTTGCTCAAGGATCRAGATCCATGCAGTTCTAGTCCTCTCTGCTTCTAAGACATAATTTATAGATCCTTGACCATCTGTTGTTTCTTGACCCTATTTGTCACTTACTGTCATAAAGAGTAACATAAAAAAAAAATTGTCTAAAGGACAGAGTACAGTGACACTACTAACTTTCTTTATTATTAATGTAATTAAAATAATATTTGATTTCTGGCAACCCTTTACATTAAGCAGGCACCTTCCAATCTAATCATAGAAAACTTATGTTAATCTTCTTAAAGCATTATCTTTTTCATTTACACCCAGCACTTGAACTTAGTAATATCTTTGTGAATTTTTTTTTTTTTTAACAGTACTGGATATTGAACCCAGGGGCACTTTGCCACTGAGCTGCATCCCTACCCCTTTTTATTTTTTATTTTGAGACAGGTTTCACTAAATTGCCGAGGCTGGCTTCAAGCTTGCAATCTTCCTTCCTCAGTCTTCTGATGAACTGGGATTACAGGCATCTACCACCATGCCTCACTCTTTTTGAATCTTATACAGTACTGCCATCTGACATCATATAGCACCAGCTTATGTCATCCACAATTAAATCAGAATGCCTTTTACAAATAGACTACCCGAAAAACAGACTGATCAGATTAGGGACAGGCACAATGCTTCTGGAAATTTTTATCCAGAATGATAATCCAAGTTAGTTTTTGAGATGAACTTAAAATAATGAATCAAGGTAAGTCATTTTATTGATGATGGGGCACTAAGTAAGGGAGACAGAATCTYATACAGAACCAGGACCAGTGAATCTGAATCTGGGTTTTACTTACAGCTGGTGAAAGACTGACCTTAAAAAAAATTTTCTTGAAAAACAACAAAATGYTGATTGTTATCAAAGCTGGGCCATGGGAATTTGAGGATTCATTGTATTGTTCATTTTTTTGCTTTTGGAAATTTTGTTTTTAAAAACTTTTTGCATATAGGGATTTAACCCAGGGTCACTATATCACTGCATTATATCCCAGCCATTTTTATTTTGAGACAGGGTCTCATCAAGTTGCCCAGACTGGCTCACGGTATTTGGAAATTTTCATAACAACTTGCAAAAATATTTTAATTTTTTAAAATTCCAGTTGATGAGATAACTCTATTAAAATTAGCAGTTCTCTATCAGTGACTTACCTACTGTGTGGTAATAAGGCGAAAGAACAGAGGCTTTTACACAATTGATTCCTCCTAGTACCTCTGCTAACATTTTATAAATTTGCAGTTGTGCTCCATTCATGCTGCCAGTATCTTTTTGAAAACAAAAATGAGTCCTAAGTAGTTAGTTTTCGATAATAATCCCAATTCCACAAAATGAAAAAAATTAATATTTCCAATAAAAACTTCAATGTAATACTGCATATGTAATGACAATAAATTCAATACACTCATAATAACCTGTCCCAAATACAAGTTCTTGCTCACAAGAGGTTTAGTGTCTTATTTAAGAAATTTTTGTAACACAAATTGCACTTACAAAATCTCAACTAAAAAAATCAAACAGGCCCTCTTGGAAACTCTAGTATCACATTTAGTTTTAACAGTAGTAACAATATACTCCCTAATACTTTACTTTAGAATTAAATTTCATTATCTCACCAAAAGAAAACTCAAACCTTTATTATAGTGTTGTTGACAGAAGTGTTCATGAAACCATGGAATTTGAAACTCAGGGCATTCCAAGCGGACTGCTCTATTTAATTCCATAAGACGAAACTGGACCCTTGAACGTAGAGATGATGGTAAAACTGAAATAAAAATGAAGTACTAATAATTTTAATAGTTTAGACTTACAAAAACATCTCATTTTTTCACATCATTTATCCCCACTATKGGTTGATACTTTCACGCATATTATAAAGTCACTTAGTTTATACAAAAACACTTTATATTTTTAAATTACTGTATTTAAGGAGCATGATTAGGACCAACTTCTACACCATTTTCATTAGTTGTGAATTTTACAACTACATTTATTTTTTTATTTATTTATTTTTTTTAATATTTATTTTTTTAGTTCTCGGCGGACACAACATCTTTGTTGGTATGTGGTGCTGAGGATCGAACCCGGGCCGCACGCATGCCAGGCGAGTGCGCTACCGCTTGAGCCACATCCCCAGCCCCTACAACTACATTTAAAAAAATACTACCAAGGACTGAGGATGTAGCTCAGTGGTAGAGCATTTGCCTAGTGTGTTTGAGGCCATGGTTCAAAACCTAAAAACAAAAGCACAATTTCATTGACCTAATACTCCATATTTAGAAATTTATTCTAAGGAAATAATCAATGATTGTAATAATTCACTATGTAATAATTCATATGTAATAATTCATTATTTATAATAATTAGGAACAGGAAACAATCTATAACAAGTGAATTTTATTATATCCACATAATGGCATATTATATATACAATTAAAAAATCAGGGGCTGGGATTGTGGCTCAGTGGTAGAGCGCTTGTATAGCATGTACGAGGCCCTGGGTTCAATCTTCAGCACCACATAAAAATAAGTAAATAAAATAAAGGTATTGTTCCAACTACTTCTAAAAAATAAATATATATTTAAAGAAAAAAAAATCATGAGCCAGGTGAGGTGACTCAAACCTGTAATCTCAGCAGCTCAGCAGGAGAATTGAGAGTTCAAAGACAACCTCAGCAAAAGTGAGGCACAAAACAACTCAGTGAGACCCTGACTCTAAATAAAATACAAAATAGGGCTGGGGATGTGACTCAGTGGCTGAGTGCCCCTGAGTTCAATCCCCAGTACCCAAATAAAAAAAAATAATAAACATGACAAAAAATATTTCATGACCTGGGGTTGTGGCTCAGCAGTAGAGCACTCACATAACACGTGCAAGGCCCTGGGTTCAATCCTCAGCACCACATAAAAATAAATAAAATAAAGGCACTGTGTCCAACTACAATTAAAAAAATATTTAAAAAATATTTCATGACATGGAATTTTGCTCAAAATATGGTTAGTTGAGAAAAGACAGCATACAAAATAAATATATAAATAATCCAAATTTGCTTTAAAATACATACAGATATATAAACATTAAAATCAAGAGAAAAACAGAAAAGAAATACCCCAATGAAGGAAGGAAGAAATGAATGAACAATCAACAGTTTCACCTGGTGGTAAAATTATGGGTAATTTTTTTACTTTCTATTTTCTATTTTTATGTTTTCCAAATTTTCTACAATAAGCATGAAAAATCTAGGGCTTCGTGTTAGGCAAGTGCTAGGTAAGCTATACCTTCTGACAATGTCATAAAATAATTTTATTTATAGGAAAAAAAGTAGCATTAAAATTAAATGATTCAGTATGGATAGAGTTGACATAAAGTACAAGTGATAATTTAAAAAATTAAATGTAGATACGTACTTTCAAGTTGAGAATCTAATCTTGCTAAGAATTTGATGTTAAAAATTGTCTTTAGCAAATTTTCTGGAAAATATTCAAGGGTTGCCAAAGAGAAACCAAGAAACACTAACATAACAGGATCCAATGTACCTAAAAGAAAACTTGATTTAATAAAATGTGTAATGTACAGCTGCCTCACATATAGGTAAATATATAATTTATTCAGATAAAGACAGGTTTAAAAATACATATAATTAGCATTGACAAAACTAATCAATACTGTTCTAAGTCAGGATAATAATTAAATGGGTGGGGATAAGAAAGGGGGAAAAGAGAAGAAAGATACTATAATATTCTGTTTCTGATTCCCTAGGTTGATTCAATATAGGTAAATTCAAACTATTATACAAAGTTTATATAAATGTTGTTATAATTTAATTAAAAGTTTTTAAAACTGCCTTGAAAGAAAAAGAATTAAAAACAAAAGGACAGTAGTATAAGTAAAAAGAGAAGTGATCCTAGTGTCTATGTTTGGTGATAATGATGTAATAGTGCTCAGAATTTGGTAGGTACCACTCTAAGCACTTTATAGATGTTAATTCATTTAAACCTCATTTATGTAAATAGAATTTACAGAATATTATCTCTGTTTTATATTATCTCTGTTTTATATTAAATGGGAATAGGGAAGCACAGAGAAGTTAAAGACTTGCCCCAGATGACAGAGTTATTAATCAAGGTGGGGATTAACTCAGAAAGTCCAGCTCTATGTCACTGTGCTGCTCACTAGGGATCTCAGGACTCTAGGTTGAGTGTACAAATATTTGAGGCTAGTACCCCACCCTACTCCACTATGCTCCATCCTGAACACTCACCCTGCAGTAATGTTCTTGAGAGTACTTCTCACACATGACAATATAGATTTGTCTATGCTTTCTACTAGTATTTCCTCACCAGAAAGTAAATTCAATAATGGTAACCTACCTGTTTTTGTTCTCTCCCTCCCTTATCTCCAGTGCCTAGCAGAGTACCTAACAATAACCATGTGGTAAAGCCATGCACAGAGGCACATGCCTGTAAACCCAGCCACTAGGGAGGAGGCTAAGGCAGGAGCATCACAAGTTTGAGACAGATGTCTGAAACTAAAAACTTTTAAAAGGGCTCATAGCTCAGTGATAAGTGCTTGCCAACATGCATAAGGCCTTGGGTTCAATTCCTAGTACCATACACATATACAAAAAATATATATGGAGGGTGTTCACTGAAAAGGTAAGAACTACCAGATAGTTCACTTTTAAAACTTTCACGGATAAGAAGTGGTTAGGATCTGAGAAGAAAAGCCCCATAAAACCCTACCCTTAAGCATTATATTAAGTAATATAAGCAAGACTCAGGAAGACAAGTGTATRTTTTCTCTCATATGTTTAAGCTAGAGAGAAAAAATAAAAGAAAGGGAGTAGGAGAATTTCCTGAAAATAGAAGGGAAACCATTAGGGTAGAAGAAGGAAATAAGGTGGAGGGAAGAAGGAAGAGAAAGAAGAGGAGGGACTATGGAATKAAACCGATCAAATTATATCATATGCATATATAAAATGCTACAACAAAACCCACTGTTATGTGATACTTATTTTATACCAATTTTAAAAAATTTAAACCCTATTCCTTGAAGGCCAACTTCTCTCAAATACAATTCAGAAGCCAAAATAAGGARTAACAGGGAAAAAATAATTTCCTGCCTCTTGTTATCTGCTTCTGCTAACGCCAATGACAGGAAAGACCAACTTTACTCCGTTTTTCCYCAGTACTGAAACATTATTTTAAAACTTTTTTAGGACACACAAAATAATCAGCACCAGAGCACCAACCTTTCAGACAATTCATAAACACCTAAAGCACCTAAGAAATATTTACTTTCAATAAACCGTTAAAATGGACAGAAACAATCAAATAGTATGTGTTTCCAGATCTCATATAAATATAAGACACATAGTACCACAAGCAAAGTATTTTTTGCTGAAATATTTAATCTAAACTTAATTAAGTTTCTATAACTAACTTCTAATTTGCTAGAAATACAGGAAATGGAGGAACAAGCCAAAAGAAAGCAAATGGACAAATCCATAATGTGACACAATCTACAATAAATGGCTGATCTCTATTCTATAAAATAAATGTCAAGAAAAAAGATAGGGGGAAAGTGACATAACCACTACATTCTGTCTTGTTTTGTTTTGTAGTACTGAGGATTGAACCCAGGCCTTGTGCATGAGAGGCAAGCACTCTATCAACTGAGCTATGTCCCCAACCCCTGTTTGTTTTAAAAAAGTTAGAAAGAACAACTGGGAAAGTGTGATTGTGGACCAGGAAGTAGACATTACTTGTTCAACTGTTAATCATTATTCAAGCTAAGATTATAAGTATACAATATACAGATGTCTGTTATTGTCCTTTCAATTTTTCTAAATATTTGAAAACTTTAATAACAAAAAGTCAGAAAAAAGTAAAAAACCTCCCCATGAAATATTGTAGACTACAAGAGACTGAAAAGATTACAACCAAAAGCAAAGACTGAACCTTGATGGATCCTGGGTCCAAAATAACCTAAAAGGCATTTAGGAGCAACTGGGGAGATTTAAATGTGGACTATATATTAGATATTTGGGAACTATTAATAAGTTTCTTAGATGTGCTAACAGTATGAAGTGTTATTATTCTTAGAAAGCATATAGTACAGTGATTAGGGATAAAAGATCACAATGTCTACAACATACTTAGAAATGGCTCCAAAAAAAAGTGAACAAGAAAGAAAAACAGATAAGGCACATATGATAAAATGGTAACATTACTAAATCTACACATTGAGTATAGGTGTTCCTTATTCAATTCTTTTAATTTTTAATACAGATTTGACATTTTTCATGATGAAAGTTTCAAAAAGGGATATAAAACATGTTTAGGTACAGAATTCATGACTATTTATGCTTATCCTACAATGAGGGACACCTCTAAGCTCATACTTAGCTCAAGTATCCTCTGATCTACTCATTCAATGCATTACCAAACAATATACCCACCTAAGTGAGAATTAAGGCATTGCATGCATGTCCCCAAAAATTCATTCCTTTGAGGTGGATCATAGTTCAAAATGCTGAATGGAAGAATAATAGCAAGAATTGAAAAAGGATGGATCTGTATAAATAGAACAAATATTTTAGTTAAACTTCAGTAAACTGAAAGAAAATTTTAACCTAATTATTATTTTTTAAACATTTTTTCAGTTGTAGATGGACCCCTTTATTTTATTTATTTATTTACCTATTTATTTATATGTGGTGTTGAGGATTGAACCCAGTGCCTCATACATGCCAGGCAAGCACTCTACCACTGAGCTATAGCCCCTAATTATTATTTTAAGTCAACTTTTTCCTAACATGACTATAGTTAAATGATAGATGTTATCACTCTGCTTATTAATTTTTCTATGCTGCTATAAACTTATTTAACTTATGACTATTATTAATAATTCCAAAAGTGCTAATGCAGAAAAAATTAGACAATCTACAAATTGATTTCATTAGTTGTAAAACTCTAATACAGATCCCACTACTAATTAAAATAGTAAACAGAATCACTTATTTCCATATCAGTGCATTTTACAGAATCATCATATAAATAAATAAGTTTCTTAATTTGTAATCATCAACATACTGTTTTCATTTATTCTTTTTTWAAATTTCATTATTCACTCACTCATCCAATACTTAATAACTGTTAACGGCACTAAGCTAAGCAAATAAGACTTTTATTTTCATTTGTTGAGAAATACTGTCATCTAAGTAAAGGCCTTATCCTGATTTTATATATATATTGTATATACAATAGTGATTATATAAGTGAGATTCTTCTCACATAATCCACAAAGCATCATTTTACAGGTTAGTTTCAGAAATAAACCTGTGATAAGATACACTGACAGGGCCAGGGTTGTAGCTCAGTGCTAAAGCACTTATCTTGCATGTGTGAAGAACAGGGTTTGATCCTCAGCGCCACATAAAAATAAAGTATTGTGCCCATCTACAACTCAAAATATTTTTTTAAAAAGATGCACTGACAATTGAAGAATACTGATGTCAGTGTATATCTTATAATTTTCTAAGTTTTCACACTTATCATACACTTTTGAATACAAATATTTTAAAACAATAAAAGTAATACCATAGGATTATAAAAAAAGAAAAAGGAAAAACAAAAATTCTTCATCCTCTACTACCTTAATACACTCAATGTCATTTTAAGTGTTTCTTTCTAGTCAAAGAATTCTGATTACTGATCTTAACAATACTGTAAGGAAGCAAAGAATGCCACTGATCTCCCCAAATCTGGAGGCAGTGGCTTTAAAGGGAGAAGAACAAATTATTGAACCAGAAACCATAGATTAATTTTTAACCTTTAAATTCTAATCCAAGTTCTCAAAGTATTTATGTTATACTAAAGTATAACATTTAAATTTCACCTTTTCAATCTGCTCAATAACCACTGAGGCTATCTTATCAAGTAGCAAAGTACTGAGGTAGTTAGTTCTAGATATAAAAGATGCAATCTTTGAAACGTTCATACAATTCATTCCATCCATCAAACGATGTAAAGCTGCAATTGTTTCTTCAACAAGAGATTCACGAAACCAGTCTTCTTTTAAAGATTTAACTTCCTCCCATAACAGATCTAAATTGTTGCTTTGTTGTAATCTCTGATGACTGTAGTGATCTAATTTTTGAAGTAGTTTCAGTTGTTTCCCAGTAATGCTAYTCATATGCATGTGATCATACTGAATCCATCTTAAAACAGATGTGGCAAAATCATTCAAGCCATATAGGTTACACTGTGGTAAAACTGCTTCAATTCGGGATACTGATGCTTCATCTAGGTGAGGAGAAGGAAGCATGGAAATAGCATAGACCAGGATGGAAATCTCACTCGGTATGACACTAACTTTCAAATAACTATAAAAGAAGAGGTGGGGATGAAAAGAACAAAATTAATACATCAGCAACCAGCAAAACCTAAATATATATTTATTAAAAGTGAATATATCATTATTATTATAATCAACATATGAGGTAAGCTTAAAATGGGAGCTAATTTAAGAATATTTAGATACTTTAAAAATGACAAGTTGCAAAGGGTCACTGAGAAGAACCTAAGATGTCCCAAAGCATGCTCYGAGTTTTTTATGCAAAAATAAAACCATAGACCCTGCCAAACAGAAGGTCAGTGTCAGAATAATGTTTCCAGTGCTGTTGCTAGAGGAAGAATTTGGGCTCAGTTTCTGATATGACCTGTCAGGAACTGCTATGACCTTGCATAGGCCTTGGCACAAAGTAATCATTCAATATTACTTCCCTTTCATTTCAGTTATATAGGAAGTCCAACCACAACACACACACACACACACACACACACACACACACCATACAACATCCTTTCCCAAAATCTCCATGCTGAACAGTCCACCAAGGGGACATCAATTGTTAAACTATAAATAAAAAAATCTGGGAGCTTTTAAAAAATCTTCAGATTTAGAAGTAGAAGAAGGAATAATCCAATCTAAGTTAAAAAAAAACTGAGTTGCTTTTTAAAATATTAATTTAGCACAGATAAACAAATACAAGGAATGCAGGCAACATAGCAAGACCCTGTTTCAAAAAATAATAAATAAACAAATCCAAATACCACAAAAAAACAAACAAAAAAACCACTAAAATTTACACAATCCAGATAAAAAATAAATCATACTGCATAATTTTGTTTACATAAAAATATAAAGGCAAAACTAATCACACACAGCTAGAAATAGAAACAGCAGTTAACCCTGGAGATAGGTACAAAGCAATAAGATGGGGGATATGTACATTTTTATGTAGATTATACTTCATTAAGTTAAAAAATAATAAACATAGCTGGGCATGGTAGCTCAAACCTATATCCCCATCAATTTAGGAAACTGAGGCAGGAGGAAAGCAAATTCAAGGACAGTCTCAGCAACTTAGTGAGGTCCTCAGCAATTTAGGGAGGCCCTGTCTCAAAATAAAAAATAAAAAGCTGAGCATGTGGCTCAGTGGTAAAGCATCCCTGGTTCAGTTCTCAGTACCAAAATAAACCTCAACCAGATGTTATTTCAATACAAGAACTCTCAAGTTTTCTGAGCTGTTTCAGGAACTTTTTATATAAGCATTTATGTTAATTGAATTAGACTTCATTCCCTCTAATACCAACTTGAAATTGTCTATACTGAAGTGAAGGGAGGTAATTCTAAATCATGAAGCACCTACAATTTTGTATAAATTCTCCCCAAATTTTAAATTACTCAATGACTCAAAAATAGTTTTGAGCAGGGTATGGTGTTATACACCTATAATCAATCCCCAACTATTTGGGAGTTGAAGATAGGAGAACCATTATTTCTAGGCCAGGCTGGGAAACATACTAAGTCTCTATCTCAAAAAAAAAAAGGGAAGAAAAACATATATTTTTGTAGAGTGGGGGGACAGCTCAGTGGAGATCACTTATGTTGCAAGCAGGAGACCCTGAGTTTGATGGCTAGAACTAAAACAATAAATAAATGAGAAAAAACTTTTTTKGGGGGGTGGGTACCAGGGATTGAACTCGGGACACTCAACCACTGAATCATATCACAGCCCTATTTTGTATTTTATTTAGAGACAGGGTCTCACTGAGTTGGTTAGTGCCTCCCCATTGCTGAAGCTGGCTTTGTACTCTCAATCCTCGTGTTTTGGCCTCATGAGCCGCTAGGGTTACAGGCGTGCTCCACTGTACCCAGCAAGAAAGAAAAGACATTTTTGATAAAATTTTAAACTATAGAGATATATAAGGTACTCTCACTACTCAGATTCTATATTAAACACAGAAAGGGTAAAGAAACAATAACCATGGATGTAATCATTTAAATAAGAAAGCTATTTCTTCAAGAAAAGGGTRAACTCTTATACCTAACATGTTAAATTCTCATCTGAAAAAAAAGTCAATCCTTATTTCTCAGTTCAAATTCTTTTGAATCATAATAACATATCACTTTATAACAATAAAAATCATTTTCAATATATGTCAATGTTTTGATTACAGTATATAATCCCATGCTTTATCTTTTAGAAATCAATATGAGAAATCAAATTAGTAGTGATAAATGGAGAGGAAAAGATTGATTTGGCCTGAACCTCATTCCAGTAATTATTCTCATCTTTAAAATAATTTTTTCCCTTTTATGCTACTAGGGTTTTGATCCTAGGTCCTCAATTATGCTGGGCAAGCATTCCACCATTGAGCTACACCCCCAGATCTTAACATTTTTAATAACAAACTCCTCAATTTCCCCTCCAAAAAGTCTAGTAATTCTGTACATAATTAAGCAATTCAAATATTGCAGATAGATTACAAAACGAAACACTGAACAAATTCATATTTTAATCTTACCTAAGCAGCAATTCTCTGAGTTTCACAAAAAGYGCTTTACTTTGAAAATGTAGAAAAATTAATGCCTGAGTTATCTTCAGTAACTCTACTGGTTTATAGTTATCCAAATGTTTATACAAAACTGAAGCAATTCTAAAAAGAATGACAGAACTATATTACAACCATTTTACTCATTGATTTATGAAACACTGTGCAGTTTTCATGCCAGATACTCTGCTCTGTACTGGAGGAACAGCAGTGAATGAGACAAGATTTTCTGTTTTTACAGAACTATCTCAAGATGGCAATAGAAATATGTAAACAATTATAATTAAGAGTCAGGTGTGAGCCATGCCTATAATCCCAGCAGCTGGGGAGGCTAAGGCAGGAAGATCTCAAATTCAAATCCAGTCTCAACAACTTAGTAAGGTCCTAAGCAACTTAGTGAGACCCTGTCTCTAAATAAAGTATAAAAAAGGGCTGGGGATGTGACTCAGTGGTTAAGTACCCCTTGGTTCAATCCAAGTTACCAAAAAAAAAAAAAAAAAAAGTCAGGTGGTGTGGTGCACATCTGTAATCTCAGCAACTCAGGAGGCTAAGATGAAAAAGATTAGCAAGTTCAAGGCCAGCCTTGGCACATTAGTAAGAACCTGTCTCAAAATAAAAAATAAAAAGGACAAGGGGCCGGACGCAGTGGTGCACACCTGTAATCCCAGCAGCTCAGGAGTCTGATTCAAGAGGATCCAGAGTTCAAAGCCTGCCTCAGCAAAAGTGAGGCGCTAAGCAACTCAGTGAGACCCTGTCTCTAAATAAAATATAAAACAGGGCTGGGGATGTGGCTCAGTGGTCAAGTGCCCCTGAGTTTAATTGCTGGTACCAAAAAAAAAAAAAAAAAAAAAAAGGACTAGGGATGAGCTTAGTGGTAAAACACCCCTGGGTTCAATCCCCAGTACAAGAAAGCGGAGTGGGAGGATGGAAGGAAGGAAGGAAGGAAGAAAAAGAGGGAAAAAAATGTAAATAATTAAAATTAGACAATCAGTGAAGTATGAAAGAAATAATATTCAACTATGAATAGTAAAAAGCTAGAAAAGCATAGTTTTACTTCCTAAATAATTTTAAAAAAAATTTTCACAGAACAGGACTACAAATTCTACATCTGCCTCATAACAAAATCTTTACCAAATTAATAACAATTGACAAAAGTGATTTAATTTTTTTCCTTAAATCTACTGGCCCTCAAACAGAGATGCTTAAGAACAATGGAATCCCAGTACTACCACCACACACAAAAAAATGGGAGCCATGGGGGTAGGAATAATAGGAGAATGAATCTAATATTATGACCCTATGTGCATATATGATTACATGACTGTGTAACTCTACATCATGTACAACCAGACGAATGAGAAATTATACTCCAAATTATACTCCATTTGTGTATGATGGGCCAAAATGCATTCCACTGTCATGAATAATTAGAACAAAAAATATATATAATATATATATATATATATATATATTTGGGAAATGCTAAGAGGTAACTAGAAGAAATATCAAAAGAAATGCACATATGATAGATAATGAAAATTAAGCATACATAATTTAAAAATATATTTTTTCCTTAAATTTCAAGTTATCAAAAAAGCCAGAATATACGGGGCTGGGATTGTGGCTCAGCGGTAGAGTACCTGCCTAGCACGGGTGGGACCCAGGTTCGATCCTCAGCACCACATAAAAATAAAAGGGCATTGTGTTGTGTCCATMTACACCTAAAAAATAAGTAAATAAATTTTTTTTAAAAAGCCAGAATATGGTATTATTTTTTCAAGGTAACACTGTAGTATAGATGGATGTTAACTGTTCTCTTGAATAGTAGGTTCCTTGCTCTGTGCTCTCCACTTGTGTGGATTATGATACTTTGCTCTAGTAGAACAACAGCAGTAAATGAAATGAAAGATGATATAAAAATTTTTGTTACCTCTATTGTGAAAAAGAAACAAGAACAAAAGCAATGCCTTAAGTGCTGACTCCTTATTTCTTCAAAACAATTATTATAAAAAACAATTATTTTACTCAATTCTTTTACTACTTATGGGGCTGGGGCTGTAGCTCAATGGCACAGCAGTTTCCTAGCATGTGTGAGGCACTGGGTCSAATTCTTAGCACCACATATAAACAAAACAAAATAAAGGCACGCTGTTCCTCTACAACTACAAAAAAAAAATTTAAAAATAAAATAAAGGCATTCTGTCCATATACAACTACAAAAAAAATTTTGGAAAAAAAAAAGGCTACTTCTGAATGACAACTAAACACCAGGACTTTCAGTAAAGATTACTTTTTAATCAAATGTGAATTTCTGCTTTCCATATCTTCCATTGCTTTCACCACTGCTAAGGCTTGCTGGCTGGTGAGCTCCTCTGATATCAATAACATGGTTGATTTAAGTCTAAAAGCAAAGAAAAATATTTTTACAATTAAAAACTGATAATTAACCTAATATTTTTTATTTTCTTTCTTTTTTTTTTTCAGAATTGGGGATTAAACCCAGGGGTGATTTATCACTGAGCTACATTTTCAGTCCTTTTTATTTTTCATTTTGAGACAGGGTCTCACTAATTGCTAAGTTGCTTAGAGCCTTGCTAGGTTTCTAAGGCTGGCCTTGAACTTGTGATCCTCCTGCCTCAGCCTCCCCAGCTGTTGGGATTATAGGTATATGCAACCATGCCTGGCTAACTTGTAATTTTTTTTAAATAAAAGGCTGTGAGCCAGGTGCACACCTGTAATCTCAGAAGCTAGGGARGATGAGGCAGGAGGATCTTGACTTCAAAGCCAGTCTCAGCATCTTAGTTAGGCCCTAAGCAACTAAGTGAGAGCCTGTCTGTAAATAAAATATTAAAAAGGACTGAGGATCTTGCTCAGTGATTGAGTGCTCCTGGGTTCAATCCCCAGTACCAAAAAAAAAAAAAAAAAAAACCAGGTTGTGGGTAACAAATAGAAAAGAAATAATATAAATAATATAGATAAAAATTGAATTCCATGTCTAATTCTAATTTTCTGCCCACATACTTGGGAATAATATAAAATATTATTAAATAAGGAAAAATATACTGTTTTCTTTAATAATTAAGGCTTAAGTATAATCCAATCTAAAACTCCCTAAAAATGTATAGATAAGAAGTATTATGATGATTTCAAATAAGATAAGTTATAATGATTATAAAGCACTATGATTCAGTGAAATTATCTAGTACTAGAGAGCTAAGGTACAAATTGATACTTTTAATAATATTTATTAAATCTAGTGAGATTTTATAACATCTTGTCAGATGTTTAAACTTGTATAAGAACTACCCTGAAAGCCAATTTACCTTCCTATTAACAAAAATCTTATATATTAAGCACTAACTGTAACACTACAATCCGAAAATTAACAAAGATGACCTATTTTTTGAAATGTTTTTTAGTTGCAGATTAACACAATACCTTTCTTTCTTTCTTTCTTTATCTAACCCAGTGCCTCACACGTGCTAGGCAAGTACTCTACCACTGAGCCACAACCCCACCCCCAAGATGACCTATTTTGAAACTATCCAAAGTGCTGTGGTAATGAAAGAATCAAGATATAAGTGTCTTATATGCATACAGGAATATCCCACAATGATATCTATTCCTCTATAATGTGTACTAATACAAAAAAGATAAGTCTTTTGGAGTAGTTTAAAAGATAAATTCAAAAGATGAAATCTGAGGAGAGAAGAATAAATTTTCTATTCATAGCTCCATACTATCCTTTCACCAACATTATGGAATGCTTCAAACCATCTTCTCCCCAAGGCTTTTCTCAACCACTTCAATCTATGTTTCTCTCACTTCTATCTACYCACAACATTTCCAGTCTACAACACTAATTTTAGTATTTAGTCATAAACCATGTTGTGATGCTCTAATATTAAATATTTCAATTATTTACTTCTAATCCCAGCAACTTTGTACATAATAAAAAAATTATTTTCTTCCTAATTAAAATATAAATTCCTTCAAGCAGAAATCCAGTTAAATCCAACTTTACAACTCTTGTATTTCTTTAGCATGAGTTTTTTGTTGTTGTTGTTGTTTTGTTTTTTCCTTTTAAGTGCTGGGGATGGAATTCAGAGCTTTGCACATGTTGGGCAAATGCTTTACCACTGAGCAATAGCTCCAGCCCTAAAATCAGATTTTAATATTTGCTTGGTGACAAAAAGATTACAGTAAACATTTTTTAAAATAATTATGTTTCTATATAGATGCAATCTCTTAAGATGTACCCTTAATTTTTAAAATATATTTTTAGTTGTAGATGGACACAATATTTTTAACTTATTTATTTTATGTGGTACTGGGGATTGAACCAAGTGCCTTACAGGTGCTAGGCAAGCAGTCTACCAATGAGCTACAACCACAGCCCCCCTTTAATTTTTTTCACATAATTCAAAAATAAAAATTTTCTATAAAGTTTTCTTTAACAGAATAATGATGCAGATTCCTCTGTTACACAACTCCTAGAAACCCCCTGCTTAACTGAATCCATTAATCATACTTATCCAAAACGGCTGTTATTCTAAATATTCCATATGCTTATGCCGGTAAGGGGAATCTTATACCCAAGTGTAAACCCAGTCACATGGCCTAGGAAAGAAGAATCTTATGTACTAGTCATATTTAGCTTATGTATTAATTTCATATTTGCTCATCTTTATATCTCAAATATTTCTCTAAATCAATATCCATCAAAAATGGAAAATTTTAAAAGGCATGAGTCAGACCAAATTCACATAGGAAATATGCCAATGTGCTTAATATGTGCTTTTGATGATGAATGCAATGACTACAAGAAACCACAAAGGGTTCGTTGTTAGATCCACTATAGTTCTAAGTATAAATATACTTAATTTGTGCCCATATAAAACCATAAACCCAGTCACCTGGTCTAGGAAGGGAACATAAAATCACTTAGTGTTCTCCCTCAGTTTTTTCTGTGTTGGCCCAGCACCAGCAATTTATTGGCTCCCTTTTAGAACATACTAGTAGATTAAGAGTTGGAGATATAAATAAGGATAAAGAATCAAGAAGCAGATCATAACAGATTATTTCCCCTTCATGGTTTAATTGGGTAATTTTTGTGCCAGAGGGCCAAGGAGACCTAAGCTTGAAGACTCCATATATTCCCAAGAAGAAAAGTAAAGYATATGACATTGAACTCACTGTTTCTTTTCTTCAGGTCCTGCCACTGGTCCCAATGCAACAAACAATTTCACAAAGCTTGCAGGGTTATCAAAGAGAGGAATCATCTCAGTTAGCCTCTTTTTAGCCACTATAACAAATTCAAAACTATAAAACTGTAGGAATTGATATCCATCAAATATTTTACTGAYGGAATCCAAATCAAGGTGGTTCATGTTATCTAAAAACACTTTATTACACCTCTCTAATAGAGGGTAATATCTAAATTTAACATTTTGAAGAAATTGTACTATTCTTTTTGCAATGTCGACCTCAGGAGAACTCATGTTGTCAAAAAGAAGCTYTGTTTTATTCACTAATTGTTCTTGAAAATGTTGTGATATTAAAGAAGATATGTTGACCATCAAGACACACAAGGACCTGAAGAAGGAAAAAGACAAATTTTTACATTACTGAAGAAAACAACCAAAACTAAACGATTAGATGTGGAAAGAAATTGGCAAAAATGTTGTTGTGTACTTTAAATTTTTTCATTTAAATATTAAAGGGAGTTGAATTCAGATCTCCCAGTAATCACTTTTAGAGAAAAAAAAACATTCAAATTAATATTTTTCATGGAATATATAAAATACCTTGTTCTGTAGATAAAACTAAAACTACTTTGTTGGAAAATATTTTTACTCAGAAATCACTTTGGATCAACAGCTCATGAATGTTATCCTACAAGTCTCATTTTGTATTTGTGTGGTACTAGGGATTAGACCCAGGCCCTTGAGTATGCTAAGTAAGTGCTCTACCACTGAGCTACATCCCRAGTCATTTTTTCTGTTTGTTTATTTGTTTTGAGACAGGGTCTCAATGAGTTCCCCAGGCTGGCCTTGAACTTGTAATCCTCCTGCTTTAGCCTCCTGAGTAGCTAGGATTACAAGGTACAGTGTGACACTACTCTTGACTTCATTTTGTATTTTCAGAAGTTGACTTTTTGCTACTCTTTTCTGTGTATCTATGTAATTTATTAATAAACTCCTGGAAAATATTTCTTACTACTGAATGATTTGAATAATTTCATGTTTTTTAGCGTTTCAGGCTAGATTGTTATTAATATACAATCATAAGACAATACTAAAGAGGAAGGAGACTTTTAATATTTCTTCACATAACAAATACTTAAGGAGTGGGGGCTAAGGATTTTGCTTAGTGGTAGAACACTTGCCTACGTGCACAGGGTCTTGAGTTTGACCCTTACCACTGTAAAATATAAATAAAAAATAAACAAACAAATACATAAGGAACATTAGTCACATGTCTAGGCACTATGGGACACACCAAGATTAATGTATGGCATTTGCTTTCAACAGACTATTCTTACATAATATAAAAATCAGAAAACTACAAATACAAGGATATATTATAATGAATAAAGTATGCAAAATGAAAAAGACATTAAAAAAACTATTGGGGAYGACAATTAGAAAACAGTCTATAAGAAAGACAAAAATCTAAAACTAAAACCATCTCAATCATTAGGAAAGTGGGGGCTGACTTGTTTCCAATTTTCTTTCATCCTTTAAATCRAATAAATTAATATTGAAAAAAACTCGAGTTATACATACTTTGGCTTCAGTTACAATATTTAATATTAACAGTAATTAGCATTAATAATTAACCTAACATTGCCATTTAAATAAACCTCCTGAAATAATTTTTTTCAAACATGTAAGAACAAATAGTTAAAAAAAAAATTAGACTCTATTCAGAAGCAGTACAATTCTCTAGAATCAGAAAGCCTAGGTTCAAATCTTGGTCCCCCCATTTACTAGCTGAGAGACCTTGGGTCTCTTATTCTCTTACTTATCCTCATAAAGTCTTCATTTCTGATATAGCAAATGAAGGATGCCTGGGGATTAAATGAAACAGATACTTATATTCAAATTTTTTCCCTTCTTTCAGTTCTAGGTCACTGCTGTCATTTCAGATCCTTACTATAGCATTCAAAGCCATCCCTTACCTGTCCTAAATATCTTTGATTCTCGGTCCTCTTTCTAATTCCACTTCTTATTATACTGAAGACCATAACTGATATGACAGTAATATTATCAGTGTATATTAACCCTGCTCACCCAATAGTCATAATTGTCTACTGAGATTTGCATTACTGTTATGTTAAATTTTTTTCTTACAATTTCAGCATTTCATAACATCAGAGATAGCCTAACCAGAGCAGATACTTAGAAAGCCAGGCTCAAAATATACCTTCTACTAGCTTAATAAGATAGTTAAATTTCCACTTTTAGTGAATTTAGCACCATCATAGAATATACAGTCAATATACAAAGTCATTTGATGTATTTATATATATATTTTTTAAAAAATTGGAAAGTGTGGGCTGGGGATGTGGATCAAGCGGTAGCCCGCTCGCCTGGCATGCGTGCGGCCCGGGTTCGATCCTCAGCACCACATACAAACAAAGATGTTGTGTCCTCTGAAAACTAAAAAATAAATATTAAAATTCTCTCTCTCTCTCTCTCTCTCTCTAAAAAAAAAAAAATTGGAAAGTGAAGTTCAAAAACAATTTCAGTAAAACATGTGATAATGAATCCCATCATTATGCACAACCACAATACACCAATAAAAAATATAGAAAAAAAGAATAAATAAATAAAATTTTAAAAATTTCATCTCAAAACATAAATTATTTAGGAACAAATTAAACAAAAGATGTAAGATCTCTACACTAAAAAAGATATCGTTCCTAAATAMATAAAAAATCATGTGCTATACAGACATCAGAAGATTTTAATATGACAAATGTTTCTAAACTAATTTACAGATGTAATTCAATCTTTATCAAAATCAAAGCAGACATTTTTATAGAAAGTAACAGGTTAATTCTAACATTTATGAGGTAGGGCTAGGGTTGTGGCTCWGCAGTAGATCTTCACACATCTCAACTTTACATATCTTATCGCTAACCCCCATGCAACACTGAAAAGTAGATGTTACCATTCTTATTAGATACATGAGGAGAAATTCTAAGAGGTCATGTAAATTAGCCTTATGTCACATAACTAACTGTTTATATCCAAAGCCCAGGATCTTTTTACCGCAACAAAAAGCCCATAAATAAATTTACCTTAAGTCCTGTATGGTTTCCAAGTTCCTATTTACAATATCAGCTATTTTTCCCATTAGTGGACTGAAATACAAACGCTGATCTGCTAGGCAAGTGGAAAATGTGGATAGTACTTTAATATCAAACCTACTAAAGGAAATACATAAAGGAGATCATTAGTATTAACTTTTAATTAAAACAATGTAGTCATAAAATAAAAAAGCAACAAAAATACTAATATATTATTAAGTGAATTTTCTAAAATACTGATTACTTATTATCATAAGAATAACAAATCATACAGCTAAAAGTGTGATATTCTAGAAAGATTTAAAAAGAACAATCACCCAAAATTATTTAAATAACCTTTTTTTTTTTTTTTGAGATGACAATTTTCTTTTCTATTTTTTGGTACTGGGGATTAAACCCAGTGGCGCTTAACCACTAAACCACATTTCCAGCCCTTTGTTGTATTCAATTTAGAGACAGGCCCTCCTTGAATTGCTTATGGCCTCACTAAATTGCTGAGTCTGGCTTTGAACTTGAGATCCTCCTGCCTCAGCCTCCCGAGCTGCTGGAATTATAGCATGCACAACTACACCTGGATGAGTTGACAATTTTAACTCAAGTTTGCCTATTACAAATAAATACTAATACAACAGTTCTGTTTAAAAACTTCATATTTTGACTATAGGAAAAATGACCCAAATTCTTCATCAAATAAATGGTATGACAAAAGCAAAGAAGAATGTCATAAACTTCTATATTTGTTTTTATTTTTGCAGTGCTGGGGCCTTRTGAATGCATGGCAAATGTTCTACAACTGAATTACATCCTCAGCCCCTAGATTTAAATATTTTGAATTTACTAAAAGATAACAAAAGAAAATTCATAGCAGCACAATATGCAAGAGCAAAAACTGCAAACAATCTAAACGTTCATGAAGAAAGCACAATGGGTAAATCACACATGCCCACAGAATACTACACAATAGCAATAAATAGATTGCTGAACCATACAACATCATAGATGAATCCTTAAAACATACTGAGCCAATTAAATAAAAGGGTACATACCACAGAATTTCATTTCTATAAAAACAAAACTGATGTTTGATGTTAGAAGTCAAAATCCTTTTGGGGTAGGACAATGATACTAAAAGAACATAAAGGGAACTTCTGGGGAACTGTTGATGTTTCTTGATCTTTATGTTATTACACAGAAGAGATAGACATATGCACATTAATCATGCTGTATGTTTACCATTTGTGTAATTTTATACAATATTCTCCAATAAAAGCTTTACTTGGAAAAAGAGAAAAACTTAACACAGTGTGAACCTTATTTAGAGAGTCACAAGTGGCCAAAAGACGGATCTTCATAGGCCAATCAAGGAAATTTGAACACAGATCAGGTATCAATACCTGAAAAGGAATATTTTTAAAATATTTTTTAAAATATTTTGGGTATGTATTTTTAGAGCTTATTTTTCTTTTTTGTTAATTTGTTTTTAGTTGTAAATGGACACAGTATTTTTATGTGGTGCTAAGGATTGAATCCAGTGTCTCACATGTTCTAAGCAAGTGCTCTACCACTGAGCTACAACCACAGCGCTAGAGTCTATATTTCTAAGAGACATGTATTTATAGATGAAATAGTATTACTAGTGAAAACATACTGAAAGCTGARTGCAGTAGCACACACCAATTCCAGCAATTTGGGAGGCTGAGGCAGGAGAACTGGAAGTTTGAGGACAGCCTTAGCAATTTAGCAAGATTCTATCTCAAAGTTGAAAAAAAAAAAAACAGAATTTAAGGGCTAGGGATATAGTTCAGTGGTACAGCACCCCTGGGTTCAATCCCCAGCACCCCAAAAACAAAACAGAAGGTATACTGAAGGGTGGGGAGAGAGCAGGAGGTGATACAGATAATTTCCGAAGCTAAATAATGAGTACATGAGAGTTCATTATATTAGCCTCCAGTTTTGTAAATGTTTAAGTCATTCAAAAAACTTTACACCAAAAATTCAAATAACTCAATAAATAGGAAAATGAATTAAACAGACACTTCTCAAAAGAAGAAATGTAAATAGCTATCAAATATATGAAGAAATGTTTAACATCAATAGCCATTTGGGAAATGCAAATCAAAACTACTCTAAGATACCATCTCACACCAGTAAGAATGACAGTCATCAAGAATACAGATAATAATAAGTGCTGGAGAAGATACAGACAAAAGGAATACAATTACACTGTTGGTGGGACTGTAAATTAGTACAACCACGGAAGAAATCAGTATGGAGGGTCCTCAAAAGAACAGGCATGGAACCACCATATGACCAAACTATACCATGCCTCAGTATTTATCTTGAATAATTCAAGTCATCTTAATACAGTGATATATACATGTACACCCATGTTTATAGCAACACAATTATCAATAAGCAAAACTATGCAACCATCCTAGGTATCCATCAGTGGATGAGTAGATAAAGAAAATGTGGTATATATACACAATGGAATTTTATTCAGTCATAAATAAAAATGAAATATAATTTGCAGGAAAATGGATAGAAATAAAGACCATCATGTTAAGCAAAATAAGTCAAACTCAGAAGGTCAAGAGTCATCTGGTTTCTTTCATATGCAATAGTTAAGAGAAGCAAAAGGGAAAAAAAGGTAAAGGTGGATCACCTAAAAATCAAAGGGAGATCAATAGAGGAAAGGGACTAAAGAATGGGAGCAGGAAGGTGCTGAGGAATGATATTGGCCAAATTATACTGTTATATTGTGTGCATGTACAAATATGTAACAGCAAAACCCATCATTATGTACAACTAGAATGCACCAATTTTTTAAAAAGTGAATAAATAAATCATCCATAATAGTTTTTATTTTTTCCACTTCTGGCTTTAAATATGTTAAGTGACCTTGCCATGATCTATCATATAGTGCTAAACCAGAATAATCTATCCYATTTGAATTATTACATATTGTATTTATAAAATACAAATCCATAGATATTTTAGCCAGATCACTAATAGCTATTATTATAACAAAAAATTAATATGTGAAAAAGATGAAAAATTCAGAAATTATATTTATTCTATAACTCTATTACAAGTTCTATAGACATAAATTAGGGCTTTAAATTTTTATAACTTGATATTATAAAAATACTTAGCAAAGCACAGTGGCACAGGCCTATAGTCCAGTTACTGGAAGGCTGAGGCAATAGACTCATTTACCCAGGAGTCTAACGTCAACCTAGGCAATGTAGCAAGACCTCATCTCAATATACATACACACACACATACAAACACACACACATACACACACACACACACACACACACACACACACGATACAAACAGAAACATGATAAAAACAGAAAGAAAGAACCACCATATAAAACAAAGCATTATCTTCTGAGTTATTTTGAAGTGAAAATACATTAAAATGTAAAGTCTGATTCACTGGGAAGTATAATGATATATTTGTAATTTAATTGTTTCATTTAATAGYAAAACCAAAAAATCTATTTTACAATTGATTTCAAGCTATATAATTCACATAACACCTACGGCTGTTTTAAAGAGGAATAAAAAGGGGGCTGGGGATGTGGCTCAAGCGGTAGCGTGCTCGCCTGGCATGTGTGCGGCCCGGGTTCGATCCTCAGCACCACATACAAACGAAGATGTTGTGTCCACCGAAAACTAAAAAATAAATATTAAAATTCTCTCTCTCTCTCTCTTAAAAAAAAAAGAGACCCTGATATCTTTGATGTTAGTCCAATACTAAGTCCCTAGGAATGGGAGCTAGTGGTCTCTTTAAAAAAAAAAAAAAAAAAAGAGGAATAAAAAGGCTTTGACCTAGCACCAACAATGACCAAATTTAACCCAAAACAAATAATAAGTATACATTTCTTATTGTTTGCAAAAAGAATTAAAATTATTCTGTTTACCTTAGATAAAAGATAGTTACGGTAGAAAACAAGCAAGAATGGAGAAATGGAATGGGTAAGATGACAACTGGGTTTAAATAATGAAGTTAACTAAAACTACAACTTCATAGATGGATGCAGAATTTCTAAATCAAGAGAACCCTTCTGAACCTCTTTAACCCAGCCCGTATAATAAAGACCTAAAGCATTTGGCAATATAAATAACAACTGTAAAAATTTAAGCTTTGAGAAGCAATATACCAAAAAACAAAAATATGAGAATGCTCACTCCTCTCTGTCAAAAAATAGTCTATTTCTCCTTTATCTTGGTCAAATTTGTACCTTTCTATTTGGTTTAGAGGTAGGGCTGCGCTGCAGTTTTTAAAACCTTCTTGTCTGGGGCTGGGATTGTAGCTCAGTAGTAGAGCACTCGCACATGCGAGGCCCTGGGTTTGATCCTCAGCACCACATTAAAAAAATAAATAAAGGTATTGTGTCCAAATACATCTAAAAAATAAATATTTTTTAAAAAAACCTCATGTCTGTTCCCACATTTTTTCTATTTCCTCACTGTCATATGTCCTATTTTACTAACAATGGCCTTTAGCCATCCAAAATTCCTAGGTTAAAAAATTCAAAGTTTTCAGAAATAGCTGAAGCTTTCCTAATATGAGATCTGTTATCATCTCAGTTCTTTTATACATGGAGAACTTTCCACATATTCTTACAGAACAGACATCTCAACAAGAATATCCTGAACATATCTCTTGTTTTTCTAGATTATATCAATTATGGCAAAATGATAAAAATACACCCATGTATACTATAGAAAATAGGTCTCAATCAATATTGTCCAGAGCAATGGACTTATTTTCTTCAAAAAGCTTCTAAGTTACCTGTAAGTTCTAGTCACTGCTGTCTGTACATAAAAATGGAGTGAAAAGCTGGGCATGGTGGCATGCCTAGAATTCCAGCAACTCAGAAGGCTGAGGCAGGAAGATCACAAGTGTGAGGCCAACCTGAGCAACTAAAAGAGACCCTCAGCAACTTAGTGAGACTCTGTCTCAAAATAAAAAATATAAAGGATTGGAGATGTAGCTCAGTGGTAAAGTTCCCCTACGTTTAATTTCCAGAACAATAACAATGAAAAAAATGAAGTGAAAGACAAGTAACTAAACAGGCTACATGGCCTTCCACTCAATAAACTGATCTTCTTTATTCTCCTTTTATAGCTCCTGTACTTCTAGGTTCTAATTGACAAATCAAAAAATCTTTTCTTTCTGAAGCAGAACTCTGGTAGATAAGAGTCAAAGCAGCTAGTCYAGTATGTAGCTATGACTCTACCCTATTTATACTTTGACTAATTATATATATGTGGAAAAGCACACTCACTATTCTGGGCTATTAGTTAAAAAGGGAACATCTGAAATACTTTCTTGTTCTATTAAATAATAAAAACACATTACACAATCAAAAACCCTGAAACTAAATTGAGTTTAAATACATTAATTTCCATAAAAGCTTGACAGGCAGGTGGCAGCTCCCCATTTTTTTTCCTATGGGATTTCACTGTGCTAACCCTGAAAAGGATAACCCTAACCTTAAAAGATGAACCCAGATACTTGCCTTTCCATCCTTTTCCACGCTTCTGTAACTAGTGCTTGAATTAATGGATCATGGGCCTTAACAGCGAACCTCAATTAAAACAAGAGAAAATAATTTTACACACACACATATTTTTAAATCATTAAAAACACATGCGGTAAGAACCTCAGGTTACTTTGCTTTTAGATAGGCAGTTCTTATTTCTACTCCCATTTCAGTGTTCTGATTTCTTGGTTCAGTCTAATAAATAAGCATCTTTATTTCATGATCTCATCCTCTTTATCCACTCATTTCAAAATCCTCCACTGAACAATGTTCAATGCTTTGTTTTACACCAAAAGGACATATAAAATGTATTACTTTGTTCTGATTATAAAAATATCTTACAGGAGAAAATATGTAAAGACACAAAAATGCTAATAGTCACCAATCAYCTTAATCTTTAAAATTGTGTTCCCTTCATATATATCAGAGAAAAAGAATATTGTAACCTGAAAATAAAATCATTCTTTTTTTTAATMTAATATCAATACCCAGTATAAGCAAAGGCCCCTTTCCTATTAATTCTGATTTTCAAAATAAAAATAAAACAAATAAATAAAAATGGCATGCTGGGCGTAGTGGCACATGCCTGTAATTCCAGTGGTCCAGGAGGCTGAGGCACAAGCATCATGAGTTCAAAGCCAGCCTCAGCAACTTAGTGAGGCCCTAGGCAACTCAGTGRAAAAAAAAAAAAAAGCCTGGGGATGTGGCTCAGTAGTTAAGTGCCCAAGTTCAAACCCAGGTAACAAAAATAACAACAAAAACTGCAATACCTGTATAATGCTGAAACTATAGCTACCTAACCAGGGAAGGGCAGATTATCATAAAAGGACTAATGTTTAATTTTGGTGTTTTTACCCCTTGTCCCTGGGTTCCTTTATTCAGGAATCCAGTTCTCCTGAAGACTGAATTTCCTTACAATGTAAAATGTATCTTTCTCTCCCACTTTCTCAGAGCCCCACCCACWCACCCTCCCACCCCACCCTTATCCCAAACTCCACAGTAGTGGGAATTTAACCTACCGACACTCTATCACTGAGCTACATCCCCAGTCCACCCACCCCTCTTATTTTCAATTTTTTGAGAGAAGGTATTRATAAATTGCTGAGGCTGACCTTGAACTTATTATCCTCCTGCCTAAGTCACTGGAATTTCAAGCATGTGCCACCATGCCTAGCTAAAATTTCTTTTCTTGAAATTTAACTTTGCCAGACATGGTGGCACATACCATCAGCAACTAGGGAGGCAGAGACAGGAGGACCAAAAGTTTCCAGATCAGACTGGACAACTTAGCAAGACTGTGTCTCAAATAAATAAATAAATAGGGCTGGAGATGTAGCTATATTTCCTTTGACATGAAGAAAGCCTTTTTTTGCATGTAATAAGCCAGTCAAAGAATATAATTTGTGAAACATTGTTATTAAGTATAAATGAGTCCAGAAAATAATTCTATTTTCTTTCTTTCTTCCTTTTCTTTTCTTTTTTCTTTTTTTAAGAACTGCAACTGGAAAACAACTTATTGTCCCARTAGCCCTTAAAAAATATATCTGACATCAGTTTAATTACAGGCTAAGAGATTGCAAATAGATCAATAAAAACACAATTTGTTAATTGCTGATTTGTTATTAGGCATTAATCTGAAATCTAATAATTCACCTATCTTCATTATCTTTAGCCAATCACATTGCCACAAAATTCCACAATAATCCAAAGTTAATCATCTCTACTGTCATGATTGAATATATTCTACTTTTTAAAATTGCAATACTACTAATAGTGTTAAATATCCTCCAAACATYTTTAAAATATAACATTATCAGGAAAACTACCCTCTTGGAGAAATTAAACACATTTTCATCTTTAAAAGATTTTTTAAAAATTAAAATATAAATAACGATTTCCATAAAAGTAACTTACTGTTGTGTGATGTATAACACATTCACCAGAGTATCATCATTCATTAATTTGATTTTATTTGTAGTCAAATTATGCAGAGTAAGAAATTGGGGATGATCTCCTACATACTCAACATTTTTTAACAAGCTGGTCTTCTGCTTTTGAAGTTGCCAAAGATTATTAAATGCACATTCAACTTGCTTTTCTGAAAGTGTCTCTTTGTTTCTTTCTATAAGATCAAATATTTGCTCTTGATCTGTACACTTATTCATCTGAATAATTAAGGGTTCACAACTGAAGGATCGAAACTGAAACTCTCTCCAGGAGAATGCACAAAGAGTTCTCAGACGAAACATATTTATAAAGGATGAGTCTAGAAAAAAGATATCTTTCCATTTACATCACAAATTCTCTTCAGTAAAGAAAGCCATCTGCAACTAGTACTCAAGCTAAATGTGCTGTTATAAAAAATAATTGGCTTGCTTTCATGTATTCTGTTTCCATTATAAGGACTCTAAATCCATTCCAATATGCAGCTTCTGTAAAAGAATTGGTTAGCATGATTAGTCATATCTTATTAATACTGAGTTAATTCCAAAATTCAAAATAATAAATTTTTTTCTGCATTAACTAGAGACTTTGTTCTTAGTCTAAATCAGATAGTAGGATTTGTTCCAAATCTAMATAGCTAGCCAGGAAAAAGAGCTTCTTTCTGTATTCCTTTAAAAAATGTTTAAGTCTGATATTGCCTAAAGTTTTCAAATTTGACCACAAAAGCAGAAGGGGGGAAAAACTCAAAAAACTCAAAACTGCTTTTTTTTTCCTCCTGTGGTGGGGATCAARCCCAGGCCCTTGTACATGTTAGTTACATGCTCTACCACTGAGCTACAACCCTAGTACTTTTAAATTTTACTTTGAGACCGTCTGGCTAAATTGCCCAGGCTAGGCTGGAACTTCAGATCTTTCTGCTTCAGCCTCCTCAATAGCTGTCATTACAGGAATGCAATCCCACACCTTGCCTTCAAGGTAATTTCATGCTCCTTTCTTCTCATTCCCTAAAAGAACTCAAACAATTTGATCATTATTGTTCTTAGTTAGGTTTTAACCAATAAAAGAGATGTTCACAACACTAATGAGGAACTATTTAAAAGTCAAAATGTGTTTCAAGACCTGTAGGATCAATATAAATAAMCAAAGATTTTTCTGAAAAGAAAATTTGTCTAACAAATATATCATAAATTTAGTAATGTTTATGTTATATTTATTCTTGAGAAGCAATAGTTAGAAAAGCTGGGACTAAAATCATATCATCTAATACACGTGCAACAGTTACAAAGAACTTTTAAAATATATCCTAATTAATTTCACTCAATTGACTATCAGTGAAGAGGAAGGGGATCAAGGGAAAGTACAACAACAAATATGCCACAAAGAAATCCACCATTCTGTACAATTAACATGCACTAAAAAAAAAAAAAAAAAAAAAGATTAGGGGAGGGATAATCCTATCACTGGAAGTCTTGCCATCTTTGTTCTGTCATAAATGTCTATGAAAATGTAACAGGAGCCTGATGTGGTGGCAAATGCCTGTAATCCCAGCAGCTTCAGAGGTTGAGGCAAAAGGATAAAACTTCAAGGCCAGTCTTGGCAACTCAGTGAGATCCTGTCTCAAAATAAAAAACAAAAAGGGCTGGGAAAGGGCTAGGGCTGTAGCTCAGTGGAGAGCACTTGCCTAGTATGTGTGAAGCACATAAAAAAAAAAAGAAAGAAAGAAAGAAAGAAAGAAATTAAAGGTATGCTGTCCATCTACAACTATAAAAAAAATTTTTTTAAAAAACAAAAAGAAGCTGGGATGTAGATCAGGGTAGGGTACCCCTGGGTTCAATCCCCAGTACGGTGAATTTAACTAATTAATAAGCATGAGTTATACTGTTACTTTAGTCTCATTGGCCACTTAAGGCAAGGTTTCTAGAACTGAATTGAATTTTTTAAAATTCTCTCAACCTTCCAGGAAGATATTATCAGTTCCATTTACACATAAAGTAAACCCAAAAAAGTCTTAAACCAGTCAAACATGGTAAAGGATACCCATTATCCCAGCTAAGACAGGAGGATGGCAAGTTTGAGGCCAGCTTTGGCAATTCAGCAAGGCACTGTCTCAAAATTTTAAAAGGCTGGGGATGTAGCCCAGTGGTAGAACACTTRTTTAGCACACTGGACACCCCTGGTTCAATCCCCAGTACTGAAATAAAGAGAAGGGGTGGGGAGGAAGAGAGGTAGGAGTGATTGTAAACAAAACAAATCACTTTAGTACTAGTGCAGATGGGATTAYATTTGAGCCTCATTACATGAACAAACGTGTGTGACTAAAAGTATGCTTCAGACCCCTCTCTGGCTATGTCAAGCTGTCTGTTCCCAAGAAAAAACGATGCCACAGTACGACCTATTTTTGATTTTGTGTTCAGTAAAACATGCCAAGGGCCACCTCCAAAAAAGAAAAATTTTTTTTTTTTTTTTTTTTTTTTGCTCAAAGCAAAGGTATCCTCGAAATACTAACTTAACCACCCATAACTGAAAAGTGGAAGCTATTCGAATTTAAAAGTCCCGCATCCCCATCTCTACCCCAGCTAAGTGACCTTGGAGAAGTCGCTTAATTAAAGGAGGGGCCTTGGGACTGTGAGAAACAGGTACGATTTAACAGGCACAGTGCAGGGTGCACAGGGTCAAGATATCCTCTGTGCGGGCATGCAGAGAGAACTGAACAAGAGCGAACGCGGTCTCCACCGTCCAGGTTAGAAATGGGTTCCGCGGGTCCCAATCCTCCGCACTTTGGAGAGCCCAACACTCGMAAGGAGGCCGCCTCAGATTCTCAGACGAACCCTACGCAAAAACGTGCTGGGTGGGAAAAGAAATACCGACGCTGCTATCCGGCCCTGACCTGCCGGCAAATTCTTCCCTCAACGCCCGCCAACTTTTCTACAGGATCCTGGCGGGTTACGTAGCTTGTCCCTCRTCCCCAGCAAAAAACACAACAGGCTCAGTTCTCCAGCTCACCCCTCTTGTCCCAGAGTTTTTAGCCTTTCCTTGAGAAATACTGTCTTCCCCCGGTAGGGTCGGTCCCCAAGCCGGAGAAAAATTCCGGGTAGACTGCGTGCACAGCGGAAGACACGCACTACACATCCCAGAGGTCTGCGCGGCGCGGCTGGTGGGACGCACGTCCCCGGCTCCTCTGGGGGAATTCTGGGCTTTGTAGTTCTGTATTGGGAGAGGCTCGGGGTTGCGCGTCAGAGACTACTGAAGAAGGTAATGACACAAATGCTTACTTAGGTCAGTGTCTCTGTTATTGAGGTTTATTTCCCCGAGTACTTGGAACATGGATATTTTTGTAATGTACACTAACAATTGTATTTTAAAAAATGAAACGAGAAAATATAAGCACAGAAAATACCTATACAGATTTTTCTTATAATTTTTCAGGGTACTATATATGAAATAACTGTGAAGCTGCTATAGAAGTATCAAAACTCCTACTCTCGATTTCTGGACTTACGTGTTTCTGTACCTATGTCATGGACAGGTGCTAATTTTCAGGCGATGCTTAACAGCTTTCTTAGATATGTATTTTGCACACCATACGATTCACCCATTGAAAGTGTACAATTCAATGGCTTTTAGTATATTCACAGAGCGGTGGAACCATCACTATAATCAATTTTAGAACATTTCTTAACTCGAGAAAGAAACTCAGATTGGCAGGTTCCCCACATCTTCCCACCCTAATTCACCCCCAAATACCCTAGACAATGGGCTAGTTTCAGGCCACATTTTGAGTAGCTCTGATTTAGGTTGTTTGAAGTTACATCAACTGATAATAGAGTTGAGATTAAGGTTGACTTGAATGCACACAATAAAGGGATGTTAGAACAAATATGGAAAAAAAAATTTTTGAACAGCATCACGAATATTAAAACCCTCCATTCATAGTCCATAAGGGGTTCTGGTAGTGTAGCTCAGTGGTAAAGAACTTGCCTGGCATGCTAGAGGACCAAGTTCAATCTTCAGTATCAAAGGGGGAAAAAAAATAAAACAATTACCAAAAAAAAAACTAATACCAAATTGTACCATTTATAAGGACTCTATAGCTGTCAAATTCATAGGAACAATAAGTGGAATGGTGGTTGTCAGGGCCTAAGGAAGGGGAATAATGAATTATTTAATGAGTTGCAATTTTTTAACATGAAAAGAGGTCTTGACATTTATTGCATAACAATGTGAATGTACTAGACTGTATTGAATGGTACCCTTAAAAAGGGCTAAGTTGATAAATTTTGTTATACACATTTTATTACAGTATTATGTATGTATGTATGTATGTATGTATGTATGTATTGCAATGTTAGGGCTTCTGCATGCTAGGCAAGCTATCTACACTGAACTTTACATTCCATCATCATCACCATCCTTCCTCTCTTCTTTTTTTTTTTTTTTTTTTTTTGGGAGGAGAGCATTTACTGGGGATTGAACTCAGGGACACTTAACCACTGAGAAACATCCCCAGCCCTTTTTTATTTTTTATTTTAAGACAGGGTCTCACTAAGTTGCTTGAGGCCTCACTAAGTTGCTGAGGCTGACCTTGAACTTAAACYCCTCTGCCTCAGGTTCCTGAGCCACAGAAATTTCACCGGTGCTCCACAGTGCCTGGCTCCTTCTTCTTCTAAGACTAACATAGTTTTACTATGTTGTCCAGGCTGGCTTCAAAGGATCCTCCCACTTTAGCCTCTTGAGTAGCTGGGACTGAGCTAGGATAGAAAAAAAATTAAATAGTTAGAAGGAGAAAAAAGGAAGAAAAAGACGACTACAACTTGAATCTGAAAGTCTTGTGCTAAAGTTTCACACATACTTTCGCTCCCCAAGCCAGTATTCCTCTCCGTCCTGTCACTCCCAACTTTCTGGAGTATCTACAGACCTTCACTCACAACCTTATAGTTGCTGAAAACCCACACACTTATGAAAATTTCCCTGTGCAATGAACTTTGAGAATAAATTAAGCAAAAGGAGATAATAATATTTTAAGAAATGTATACTACAGGGTGCATTCCAAACGTTATCTATTGATCAGATAATGGAGACATCAAGAACAGCCAGACCACCATGAACC